CTTTCTTGATATGTTCAATATTTCTGGCAATAACGCAATATTATTGTTACGTTATGCATCGATTGCCATATAAGGCATAAAACAGGTAATTCTTGCGCTAATGTTCCTGGCAATATGCCTTCAACGCGACAGAGACAGGTCTCGCACAGACAGCCAGTTTGGTGCCACAGCCTCCTTGCGATCTTTTTTCGTCACTTGTTCTGAGAAAGGCTCGAGTGCATATTCAAGTACAAGCCTCACGAAACTCTTCCTGCTTGTTCGTGAATAAATTGAAATCAAAGCGATCCTGTACTATATTTGAGCATCGCGCACAAAAAAAAAAAAAAAAAAAATAAAACATAAATCAGAACATCGATTCAGTAAAATGAAAAATATACTTTATACAAGTATAGATCAAAGTTAAATAAAAGTTTTTAACAAAAATATAATGCACAATTAGAATTTAAGCATAAAGTTTCTAATTTTTTATTCAGTATATTTTTTTCATAAAATAATTCTATGTTAACTAATAGCTCAACATTATGTAAAAATTGCATTTTTATCTACATACATAAGCAAACCAAATTCAAAATACTCACTTTGGTTATTTTTCTTCGTTTTGTGAACCACTTTGTCTAATCCGGCCATGTTATTTGGAATTACATAAGATGTGTCAGAGGAGCTCTGCAAATCCCAAGCGTTCTGCAAGATGACATAAGATTAATAAAAATTATTTTTAATACAGACAAATACACATTTACATACTTTTGATATTATAAATTTAATAATATAAACAAAGAGATATGTGAAATAATTAAAGAGAAAAAGTTATATGTGAGACGTAAAAGACAGAAATGTATAAACTAAATTATACAAAAATAATATTCAAAATACACGCTAACAAGAAAATTACCAACCGGATCGCATTCCACATGCAACGGAGCGAGACTGCAGTTTTTGTCTTGTAATGCGGCGAGCTTGTCGTCACATGCCGTTGTATTTTGCGAAATCGGTGATTTAACGTGGTCTAAATTGCTGTCCACACTGCCATGAAAGTTATTCAATACCGGAACTTCGTCAGGTATTCCTTGAAATCCTAAATTATTTTCTCGCGGCGAGAATTTCGTCGATCCGTCGTTGACCGACGTTGTACGAGATAATGCAAAGGGTGATAAATTCTCTTCATTGAAGCATTCGTTAGTTTTATCTACGGGCTTTGGAATTGTACGAATGGTGCCGTTTGCGACGGAACCATTCATACGAAAATCTAACGTACTGACTATATCTAGTGTATCTTCCCTCGAAGTTTCGTTTTCATCTATATCATCTTCACTACCTGCAATACATATATGACACGTGTACATA